GATAGAAGTCTTCAATGGCTGTAAGTTACACTTACACCCATAAAACATCACTCTTCCTTCCACAAGTGTTTCATGAAAAATTCACTTTGGCATTCCAAAGGTTAATTAGCATGCACACAAAGGTGGGTAAAAAGGAATGTTTTCAATGAGACAGTTAGGGACGCTCAATGAATTTTGTCAGGACAGACCAGGTTGAACTTGAATCACGGGAGTGTCTCTAGGTTTCTGAGTCACTAATCAGCCAAAATTTCTATCTTTTAGTTTCTTTGGAGCGGGGCAATTTCATATTTGGAGCGGGGCACATTTCTTCTTTTGCTCTATGGTATTTTTTAGTTTCTTTAATCATGTCATAATGGGTTCTGTCGTATGCAGAGGATACTCTGCTCCAGAATGCACTGACGTGCCACCGCCAGATAAGAGAGACATCTATAGTAGTGACATATATAGTTTGGGTGTCATAATCAGAGAGCTGGTAACTGGAAGTAAGGAGAAGCCTAATATTTTTGGGGTAAGTGTAATTTTTCTAACTAGCACATCAACTCATTCTCCTACCCGGACTATAATCTTACGAGACATAAATATTAGAAGTTTGTTGATAAGTTTAATTTGATACCTCCAACTAATTAAATTTCCTTTATCTTCATGCACTCTTTCAATCTCTATTAATTTGTTAACACAATACCATCAGCAGGGGCGGAGCTAGGATTTGACCATAGGGGGGCCGTCCAAACCGACAACAATAATGCATGGCGATATACATACATGACTAGAGTATATATACTAACCAAATAAATATTTGTATTGCAATACAAATGAAAAATGAAAACTAAAAAACATTGGATATTTTATAGAAAAATGGAACAAAATTAATTTGCTCTAGGTCTCTAATGTTCATCCGATCAACCAAATTTTTAGGCCAGAGAAAAGAATCACGATAATAACATGAAAAAATTAAGGAGATAAGGAAGACTAATCCCAAATAATATAGATGTTATTAGAGACCAATCGTTGAGAGAGAGAGAGAGAGAGCAAACAAGAAAACACTAATTACATATAACTGGCTAATTAGATGGTGTACTGTGAGGATGAATTAGACATTTGTTAGGCATAAATAGAAATAGCAAAAGAGATGGAGAAAATAATATTGGAAGACTAATTCTTAATTGTGTAATATGATTAGAGGGTGCACTATAGGGATGAACTAAACATTTGGTAGGCAATAATAGAAAGAACAAAAGAGATGGAGAAAATAATAGGAAGACTAATTCTTAATTATATAAGATGTTACTAAACATTAATATGGAGAGGACAAAAAAAACCATATATCATTATTGACTATTTAATTAGAGTATTATGTAGCTAATTAAGGAGACATATTGTAGGGGGTATAGAAATGTTGGGGGGTGCCGGGCTCCCCTCACCCCCTTCTCTCCGCCACTGACCATTAGTCTCTTCTCTCTTCTGTTTGTAATAAATTTATGAATTATTGTATATGCTTCACCATTCATATTTATAGTTTTTTATCTTCGCATATGACTTCAACATGTGTTTCGTTGAAACCTGGATTAAATTATATCAGCACTTATCAGAGCCCATGTGTCATGACATATGAATCTAGATTTTGGATTGCAACTTTCAATGTTTTTAGTTGCCTTAAATTTTATTATCCACGTGTTATGTTGGAGCTCCAATGCTTATTGTACATTTTATTAACTCTCATTTTGTATCTTGTTAAAAATTATACTAGTTACTAAGCATGAAGACCTGGTTATAGTCTATATACATATTACTACAATGACAAAAATGGTTATTTCAATCCACACCATGACACTCAAGATGTTATATGTGTAGTAGTATTTTAATAAACAAGTCAAGTTCTTACAATTAAACTATCAATGTATACATTATAATGTTTCTATGAAATGTATAAATTCATCAAAAGTAACAACTGACATTTTTAATGTCATATTACACAAACAGAATATATATTTACTTTGAGTTATTCATTTATTATTATTAATAGTGGAAGAAGTTAGTAATTTAGAAGGATATATAGGTGTGCCTTTTCTTATTCAAGTTTTTTTTATGATAGCAGATGTTGGTAATCTGGGAGACTCTGTTGGGGCCTCCAATTAATAGTAATAAGATCGTTGCTAACCACACATTTCTCTTATAATCGTTCCAAGTTTTTTCTTCCTAAATGGTTATGCCTCCACTTAGAGTTCATAGGTATGCGAATCTATTTCACATCACCAGGAACTTGTTGATTTAGATGTACAAAAACTGATGAACTTTTGCAAAGTTTGCTTAGCAAAAAAGTACTATCATATTTTGACTATGCTAGTTTAATCACAAACCAAACAAGGCATGTGTACCCTTTGAGGACGAAAAAGCTTTCTATTGAATTAAGGCAAAAAGGTAGGGAAAGGTTTGCCTAGATGCATGAAAGTTTTGGTCCAAGTTTAGTGCCCCTCTTTGGAATGAATGAAATTCACATAAACTTGTTGAAATTTTACATGTGAAACAGATGAACTCACTTTGAAACCGAGAGATTCTGCCTTAATTCCAAGGAGTTATTAGTATTGATTTGGGCCATGTTTGGATCAGTTTTGGATTCTTAAAAACCAGTTTTTGCCTCTAGTTTCTAAAAATATGGATTCTGAGCAAAAACTAGTGGGGATGTTTGGATCCCCCAGTTTTTAAGAATCTGAGTTCATTTATTGCTCTTTGGGTCACAAGAAACTGGCAAAAGCTGGGTATCAACAGCTTCCTGGTTTTTAAGAACTGGCAAAAACTGGCACAAGAAACTGGCAAAAACTGGCATGTTTGGATCCCACCGAGTTTCCAAAAGCTAGATTCTTAAAATCTCGAGGGATCCAAACAGGCCCTTGATATTCCAGGTCATATTGATTTTCATTTATCCTATGTCAAACCATCATAAGTTTGATCAAGTTTATAGAAAAGAACAATAATATTTATGGAATCAAATGAGTTTCATTAGATACATCATGAAATATATTTTTATAGTTTATCTCTTTGATTTGATAGATATTAATATTGTTCTCTACAAATTTGGTCAACTTAGAATGGTTTGACTTAGGCCAACTGAAAATTCATTATATTTCAGGACTCAGGGAGTTTATCTCTATATTTTGAAGCTAGAGGACACATACAATATCTGCATGAACTTTTCTCCAGGAATTATTCTAACCTTGTTTCTGAAATGACAGGTACTTAGAAAATGGAAACATAGGTGGAATAAATCAGGGAAGCATACACCATTGTGGTACTACCATCAAGTGCATAAATGCCTCGAATTGGCACTGAGGTGCTTGCACAGAGAACGAAATAGAAGACCTCCCATATGCACCATAATCCATGAGCTCAACGAATTGGATAATAATACCAACGTATATATATTTGATCAGGTAAGGGTGTTTGCTATATCATCCTCCATAAGCTATTTAGTACATAGTCATGTTAATCCATATCTGAATTTTCTCCCAGAAACATCCGTTGTTGAAGGACATGCTTGATATTGAGCCACTGCAGCTGCATTTCCCCTATGAGCATAATAAGGCGATAACTCGCGCAATTGAGCTGATTAATGATACAGACGATTGCTTTGCCTTCAGAATTACAACCTTGAGCTCACTTCTGTACCTCACACAACCAAGCAAAAATATTGTTCCACCGCGATCCAAGTGTAGTGTCACCATAACACTGCAAGCACTGGAGATGGCACCAGAGCAATGCAATTACGGCGCATCCCAGTTCTATGTGGAGAGTACCAGAGTGGATGAGAGCCTTGTAGCCGAGGATGTAACTGAAGACATGTTCGACGAAAAGCCTGGTAAAGTGGTTGATAAGGTGGATTTGATCGTTGTCCTTGAGTGAGCATGTTTACTCCCGGCCTTTTTTTTTCCCGGAAGGACTCCCAGCTCTGGTCTAGAATTGAGAGGACCTAAGCAACTGATTTGGAGGTGCTGTTTGAATTGCCAGTGTACATAAGGCTGTATATTCGAGTTTGTACTCTGTAACGGTTCTGACGTTTTGGAGATTAGTTTGAATTTTCTTCGACCATGAATAGTGCATTTTGTCTTTCAAAGAATATAATCAGATGGCTTAGGTCCACGATACAAGTTGTGTTGCTGCTCACTTTCTGTACTCAGGACGACCCACGATAGTTAGAAGCGCACCAGGGCCCATACCTTGACTTGTCAGTCCTTGCACTATACCTGGGCCTCTGAAAATTGCTGAGGGTTACTATCCTAAGATTAACAGTTCCAAAAGAAGATCCTAACTAAAGGAAGCAGTTGCAAAAAGGTATAGTGATCCTTTGTCTCCATATCATTGTTGTTATACATGCAAGCCTTAAATATCTGCAAGTTTCACTGTGATCCAATGCTACCACAAAACTTAACATATTCTGGTTAGAGGTTGAAATGCTAATAAAAATATTGCAGGTATCTGGGAGGTGATTTTCAAAAAAAAAAAAAAACGTCGCTGGGAGCTCAATTTTGAATAAAAAAAGTTGTATCTGCTAATCACCAATAATTGAAGGTATGCGATAATTCATAACCATCTCTTGAAGAAGAGGGCTTGCCAAAACTAGGTGGTACAAGTGAGATATCACCAATTCTCTTTTAATGCTACAATCTGAATAAAAATCCCAGAATTACAATCACAGCGGTACATTTTTCTCTCCTCGTATATCCTGATCTGTGACATTTCTATGGGCAATGAGTAAGCAATAACATCATTGCTGCTACGAAGGGGGGGGGGGGGGGGGGGGGGAGGGTTTCGGCCTGTTGTTTACCTGTTTCCATTGGCCATCACTATTCTGAACCTGCGACAGATACTGAGGTTCTTTGTGGAGGACAACAGGGAAAAGATTACAATACAGAGAAAGGAGAGAAACTGATCGAGGTTCTTTTCCTGTCGTTAGTTGCAAGGGCTGCCCGGTTTGGGTGGGATGCATCTCAGTGGCACGCTAACCTTCAACCCCATATGTCATAGTTGAGATGGTTGGGATGAATCTCAAGCACATGGGCCAGTGCAGCCTTGGCCTCCTTCACTTCCATCTCGCCGGCGCCTGCGGATCGGAAGTAAACAATGACATCCTTCAGTGACAGCAGGTTGCCTAAGCCCAAGTCGAAACAACTACCATCGCTGCTCGCAATTTCTCTCACATCCCTTGCATACAACGTGAAGGCAAGGTGTTCGAGCCTCATCATAGCTCCTTGATGGAAGAACACAGCTCCCATAAATCCCAAAAGCCTGCAATCTACCAGGCATGGGAACAAACAAGCACCAACGACGAATCTCTGAGGGATTTTGAGTTTCTCATGGTCCAACATCAGATACAGATGATGGAGTGCTGGCAACCTCCCAAGAATTTCTAGGTCCTCCTGGTGCAGCTTCCTCACGTTGATCCACAGGGAGGAGAGGCACAGAAGGGAAGGAGTCATCCAATCTGGCAGCCTTGAGAACCAGCAGGATTGTAGCTGCAATCTACGGACATGTCGAGGAGCAACCCATGCATCAAAATTGTATTCAGCACCAGAGGCCCAGATAACTAGACTCTGGATTTTTCTCAACTTGCATAGGCACGCCACCAAAGATTTCTCCAAGGTGTTGTTCCAGAAGAAAAGTTCTAGCTCCCTCAGTTCAGTTAGATGGCACAGCTCTTCTGTGATATCCGTGGATTCGTCGCAGAGGTATAACGTTGAGAGCTCTTCAAGTGTTGTTAGGCTCCCAATCCCATTTGGCACTCTTGTATTTTGGTCGACACAAAGACACATCAAATGTCTTAGCTGAACAACAGTTGATGGCAGGCTACCAATATTACTTCCCTTTATGTCCAATGTTTGTAGATAACGCAGGTTTCCTATTTCATCTGGGAGCTCATTACTATATGTCCTTTCAAGTCCCAAATACCTCAAGTGAAATAAATTTCCAAGATGCTTAAGATCACAACCTTGTGGGAGATAACTACCTTTTAAATTTAGTACACGCAAAACCCTGAAGCTTGCAAGGGTCGGCATTAGATCAAAATCGGATGAAAAGGTAATAACTGACCTCACTTGTAGCATGCTCATACTAGGGAATGTGGTATCATGGTGTACCATGCTGTTCTGAAGAGACAACCTTCGAAGCATTCTCGTTCTTGATGGAGATGTGTTGTGCTCATTGTTCAATATGGTAACAAAATTTTCTTCACTTGACAAGGAACGTATAACTTCAAGAACCATATCGTGTACACGACAGTATTCTATCAAGGCATCATGCCAGTCATACACAGGCTGGATCATACTTGTGTTTATGAGCTCATTGAAGTAACACTCTCCAAGTTCAAATAAGCTCTTCCCTTGTTGTTCACATTGTACAAAACCTTCAGCTATCCACATCCATATCAACTGATTTTTTGTAATTGCGGTATCTTCTGGAAACATACTTAAATATAGTAAGCAAATCCGCAGATGGTATTTCAGATCATAGTAGCTATATGCCAAAATCTTTCTCATATTCTCTACATCTGTACTATCGTCGAGTCCAGTACCAATAGAGTTGTACACCTCGAGCCACTCCATTTTGTCTCTTGCTTTATTAGCCAACAAACTAGCTATCGTAATGATAGCTAAAGGTACACCGGCACATTTCTTCAATATTCTATCAGATACTTCTGTCGTTAGGTGCTCATCAGGACATTTGTATTTTTCTTCATTGCCAAATATTCTTCTATAAAATAATTTTCTGGAGCTTTCATGACAGAGGGCTTTCATGCTGTAAGCACCACCAATTTCTTCAGCTACCTTGAAATTACGGGTAGTTGTGATAATTACATGTCCACCCATATTATCAGGCAAAGCACATTTAATCATATTCCAAACTGAGATATCCCATATGTCATCAATAACAATGCAGTACCTGCACACATAACAAAGGCATATCATAATCAAATTTAGATTTGTTTTTTTTTGGACTAAGTACCAACTTAATCTTTGTGCGTGCAATAATTACTGCTAAGGTAAAATATGGTGAAACATATGGTGTAAATTAACAATGGAAAACAACATTCATATACATATAAAAATTGACGGCTAGACTTATTGATTTATTGTGTTATTCATTCATACCTCTTTGCCTGAAGGAATTTCCTGATTGCATCAATGAAGTGCTTCACATCCAGTGTTTCTTCGTTGATGTCCTTGCCAAGTTCAGAGAGTATACCCCTGAATAATCTCCTCATGTCAGGAGTTTGAGACACTGAAACAAAAGCCCAGCAATCGAATTGTGCTCTAATCTTCAGGTACACAACATTAGCAAGAGTTGTCTTTCCCAGGCCTCCACACCCAACAATGGAAATTACCCTGCCATGCTGCTTGGACGCTTCGCTCCCATCAGTCAGAACCTTGATTAGCTCATCTCTAGCGTCATCGATGCCAACGAGCTCTGTCACCTTTGTGTAATGAGCCAACAACCGAGGATCAACAGCATCAGGCCTAGCTCCAACACCGTCAACCTTGTACACCTCCCGCCGCTCGCGCACCTCTATGACACGCCTCTTGATGCCTCTAATGTCCATTGCAACCTGACGGCGAACACCGAATCTTGTAAGCAGATCAAGGCTCCTATCAATTAACCCTCTCATGCCGTCCGGCGCTGCGAGCTGACCGCCCTCGCAGCGCACCACGAATGTGTCGATGCTGTCCTCAATGTCGTAGGACAGCTCGCGCACCTCGCTGGCCCAGATCCTGTCCTGGCGGTCAAGATGGTCTGACGGAGATCTGGATATCTCCTTGAGGGCGTCCTGCATGCTATGGAGCTCAGGTTGGAGGAACATGATCTCCCCCTTCACCCCCTTCTGCAGATTGTACTCGCCGACCAGCAGTTTACCGAGCTTGAAGACAAGCCCCGTCAGTACCCCCGTCACAACCTCCATGAATCCGTCCCTGTTAGAACACAAGTATAAGATGGTTTGTGTATATATTTGTGTGCTCGTGTGCGTGCGCTGGTGTTCTAGAGAAACTAAACTGTCGGCGACGACGCCCTTGATCTTGAGACAACGAACGGCGGCGAAAGACCGAGCTTGGAGAACGTACTCACCGGTCTCCCCGGCCGCCGGAGCCTACGGCGCGGCAGCTCTTCGCCGGATCGGACTGCCCGTCGCTAGCTTGAATCGATGGAAACCACTGTTCAGTGGCCGTGCTGCCGTTGACTTCCTTTTGCTTTTTGAGATTGGGCTGCCGTGCCGCCCCAGGCTGGGACTGGGATCAGGGGCAGACTCTGATCGAAGAGCCCCAATAGGAATGGGATGAATGGCAACATGTGAACAGACGAGAGAGACGTAAAAGGGCCAAAGATTCCTTGCACTGAACCATCAATCATCATACGGCTGAAAGTGAAACCAGTAAAAGAAGTGTGACTGAAATATCTCCGGAGATAGGGTGTGGGACCACCATTCGATGAGTGGTGTGTTTCACCCTCGGATCGTTGTAATAATATAGCTGTATAAATAAGAGAACGGCTTTCTAAATATTACACAGATCTTAAAGTAGTTTATGTAACTAATTAATTTTGTTATTATTTTTTTCTCTGGATTCCCACGTGAGCCCAGCCTGTTAAGCCCAGCCCGTGTCCAGGTCTAACTCCTAGATCCTTTGGCTCTGTTCGGCTTACCTAGAAGACGGCTTGCTCGGCTTCTTTTTTCAGCTGGAACAGTGTTTTTTTTCTCATAATAATTCAGCCAGAACAGTGTTTTTCAACCAGTTTCAGCCAAAATTCAGCAAGCCGAACGGGCCCTGTTTACTCGTCGAAGGAGATGATAGGCACGATCGCCTCCCCTCTCGCAGTGCGGAGGCGGCGAGCGGCTGCTCATGTGTCGACGCTTATGAAGAAGAAGCAGTTGAAGAAGACCATATCAGCAGTTCAGCACGCTCGTTTTGTAAGATAGGATGCTTTGAGATCCGTGCAATTTTTTGAAAGAGGAGTAATAGAGCAGTTGCCAATAAAATAATCTCTAGGTGTTCCAAACTCTTCGGGTTATGCGAAAGTGCGTGTAGCCTAATAATTATGGCCCCGTTCGCGTGCCCTTAAACCTGGCTTGATCCGCTTATTTTTTCATCCGGAACAGTGTTTTTCTCTCACAAATTCCTCCAGCATTCCTCCAAACCATCCAGATTCCTCCAAAATTCAGACAAGCGAACAGGCCTACAATAGTCTTAGTAGCACTTCAGGTCCTGGATTTGACTCTCCGTGGGAGCGAATTTTTCAGGATTTAACGGCATTATATTTTTAGTGGTGGATGATGTTCCCGTTGACAACGAGACGGGTACGGTGACTTCGTCAATTTCGAGGATTTACCGATCCAGCCTTCGAAAATGCTCATAGAGGTAGGATTTGTGTGTGTGCGCATTCACGTTTATAGGGTTACTGTGCGCGCGTTGTGAGTGTCTTACTTCAGGTTATGTCAGATTATAATAATTCAACCAATAGATTACTGAAATCCTATAATCCATCTCAAATCTATTATTATTAGTGTAAGAGATTATATGTGAAACTCATGCAGAGTTTCGTTTTCTTAAAAAAAAATAGAAGTATGGATAAAGATTTGAGCGGATGCAATCTAGATTATTATAATACATGATATAAATTATTATAATCTCAGTCACAGTCAAGATTTTAGTAATAATCTAAAAGTGATCTGAATAAGGCTTCTAGTTCTACAAAACAAATAAAAAATATAATGGCTTGCATCGATTTGAGAGTTGAGATGCATGTGGTGGGCATATGTATTAAGCTGGCCACACCACATCTGGCAAGGCTGAATTAATATCCAATCAAAAAAATATATACAAATAATTTAAAACACAATTACACATAATTGAATAATAGTGGAAATCTTGCCAAACTCACACAAATCAACAAGCAAGTACTTAGCCACCCATGGCACCTCATGGACATTTACGTTTGTATGCAGTAGTATTGTACTTTTGAAAATATTAGTTAATAAGGTCTAAGATTAAAAAAAAATCTAGGTTGATACAATCCATCTTATCATTATTCTTTGCCTAATTCAACTTTTTTCTAGCTTTGATCAAGTTTACATAAAATACATTAATATCTATATATGATACCAAATAGTTGCATTATCAAGATATTTTTATGGTAGATTTAATGATACTAATTTGATGTTTTACATGTTGATCTATTCTTCTATATACCTACTGACACCTTTCTCCAGACCCTGCACAGAGCGGGGGCTCTCTGCACTGGGTACGCCCTTTTAGAGTATCTACTAAGGAAAAAACTAAAAAGATCTACATTTTAAAACAGCGGCAGTAGCAATTTAAGATGCAAAAACTTTTTGGAGGAGACGGGTTGTTTAACATGCATAATTTTTTTTAAGGAGACGGGGCGGGCGGGAGTTACTATATTTCACGTGACTAAAATATAGCAAATTTTCAGGCGATGGCTAATAGCCTTTAGATATACATCATTGGTCAGAATCTGTTGTAGTCGTTTGTCACCCAGCCACTTATCGGGTCCGCAAATCAACCTGCCAAACCTTAACGGGCGCATGATCCAATACCCGCTAACTGAAGTTGGTGCTAATTTGGACCAAAATGAAACTATCGGCCCAATAAACACACGTACATGCATACACAGAAAATTACAACTCTGCCACTGCACCCTTCAGCATGCCGATCAAATCTGGATCCAGAAAGAGCACAAGAGTGGAGAAAAGGGTGAAAATTAGTAAATAAATGCACAGAAAAAACACCAAAACATGAACAAGAAGAAAGGATACGAAGATCAGTCAAGGGAAAAGGTACTAACTAACCTGCAGAATTTTGTATTTTTTGCCTTCATCTCCTTTGTTCTGTAATGCTCTATAATATGCTATTGGAGATCACACTGACACAACACTTTGCACAAAATCAGGCATGGCCCCTCCTCTCTCTTGTCACTAAAGTAGGATTAGTATTTCATGATGATTTGTTGAATACACACTCAAGTATAGATAGAAGACATTACGAACTGCATAACAATGAAAGCATAATCATTTCTACTGAGTAAAGAATGAACCATCTAAATGATGCTGAAAAACTCAGGCCACACATAAGAAAATTGCACATTTGTATTAGTGCAACTGTTACTATTTGATAATGCAATTGTACTGTATTTCTGTGCAAATAGAAAAGCCTGACAATATATGTGCAATTAGAGAAGTCCACTATTGCTTAAAAAATCACTATCTATATGTTCTATGGTGCCATTATAATACCCCAGAGCCATTTAGGCCTATATCTCAAAGTGTATGTACCATAGCACCAAAGATCACTAAAACTAGATCAGGTTTTTCCTGGTGTGCCCTAAAAATCCAAGAATGCTTCCTAAATTTTCACAGTATGCAAAGAACAAGGTGAGTTAGCACAAATGACAAGGACAAAAACTTGATTTAGGCAGACACAGATCACAATAAACAATTGAAATGTTGAGCTAGCACAAATCACAAGGGACAATTTTTTTTCTATGAAAGGACAATGACAAAAACTTAGTTTTGGCATACACAAATAAAAAAACAGAGAAAAAGGTGAGTTAGCTCAATAAATCAGGATCTATTGACAAGCTCACAGCTTCAGATGACATCCTAGTACTTGAGCGTCAAGCTTACAAGCTTATCTCATTTGGTAAGCTGACTTCCAAGAAGTACAAGCTGTCAATCACAAAAAACATGAATTAGGATTGTAACAGAATAGTATGTACTGATGGTAAAAGGCGTGTAGAACAATACAAGCTCTACTGTATTAATATCAAGTTCAGCGCCTTCGCAACCCTATAGGTAACTGCTCCATTATATGCACTTTAGAAATGCGAATATTGATGACAGGTGTAACTGTTGGCAATTCCTTGCTGTAATTTAAATAGGTCAACAAAGCTAAATTAGTATCTGCTTATAGAAAGGCACTCCAAGTAAAGCTCAAGAAGACTTACAGAAAGGTTCTCTAATGCATCTGAACTGTTCAGGATTAAAGTTTTCCAAACGGGGCCGCCCGGCACGCAGAGACGGCACTAGCACGGCGCTGCGGCACGGCACTATCAGCATCTAAGACTATCGTGCACGGCATCCCGACCGTGCCGTGCCGTGTCGTAGTGCCATGCCATACCACCACTCCCGCCTGTGCACGGCACTAAGGAGTCCAGAGAAGGTCGTGCCATGCCACAAGGCACGGCAGACCCAATGATTAGTGCCGTGTCAGGCACTAAAACCTCAATAACACTTAAAATGTTCACAAACAATGAAAGACAATTCAATGATCAAATTCAAATTTGAAGAAAGCAAAAGAAAAAAGAGAACACAAGAAGAACAGAATATGAAATAAAGGAGGCGTGCAATGGTTTGTCTCATTAAAAAACTGTCGTCTGGTAAAACTCACCTTGTGAGAAACCCCGGACAGGGAAAAAGAGTGCTGACCAACCCCTTAGTTTAATCCAATTGTTCATTAAATCCAATCCATGTGTCCAAAGCATCCAAGTCCAAGTCTTTAAGATTACGAGCACCATTACATAAATGAATGACTAATCAAGATAAAGGTTTTCAAAGGCCTCCTCGAGCTCCTTATCCTCCACCATATGTTGTAGCCTTGACTCAGCAGCTTCCCAGTCCTTGATGCATGTGAGTGCCTCCACAGTCTCAGGGTTTAGCCTCCGCCGCCTTTCTTCAATGATCCTGCCAGTGGTACTGAAAGTAGCTTCTGAGGAAATGGTAGAAACAGGCACACTGAAAACATCTTTAGCAAGGGTAGAAAGAACTGGATATGTTAGCTTATGACGATGCCACCAGTTCAGGATGTTGAAGTCATCATCCCACTGGCTCACTGTGTCACAGTCCAGATAAGCAGACAGTTCAGAACTACTGCTAGAAGAACTTGCTGCATGTAACAAAACAGTAGCAGGCATACTCCTAGACATATCAAGATTAGGAGGAAGAGAAGAACAGGCAGCTCCAACCAGACCATCATCATCATCATCATCATATATTTCAGCCCAAGCTGTTCTTTTCTTACCAGATAGGCTTGGAGGATCAGCCTTTTTAGCCCTTACAGAGCCATACAAATCATCATACTTATGATACAGCTTGAAAAGTAGAGTTCTAGTTTGCATCAGCTTATTAGAATAATCAGCATCAGTAAGCACATTTAACTTCTTAAGCACTTTGTTAAAACCTTTAATTTTAGCTCTTGGATCCAAGATAAATGCAATGCAGTAAAGATCAGGTATGGTTCTCCAATACTTATTGTACTTATCAATCATAGGTTGAACAATAGTTCTAATATGTTCATCATTTTGATACTTATGCAGGTGTATAGCAATCTTAACAATATGATGAACCATAAGTGGGGCAGTAGGATAGTACACACCAGACAAAGCAACTGTTGAGTCATAAAACAGTTCAAGGAATTCCAGTATTTTAGTTGCTATAGCCCAATGATCATGAGTCAAAAGAAAGGGGCCACCTTTAGGTCTAGGATAATTAGACTCAATGAAAGTATGAAAAATTTCCTTGTGTGGTAGCAAATGCCTAAGCATCAGGTATGTAGAGTTCCACCTAACATCCATGTCCAAAGCAAACTTCCTAGGTCTAGTACCAGATGCCATGCAGTAACTCTTATATGCAGCAACTCGAATGTTAGAAGAGTTAATCCATGATATTGCGATTCGAAAGCATCAATCAAAGCACTAACAAAGAACCAAAGCCTCTTTAACAATCAGGTTTATGATATGACAAGCACAACGTTGATGCAAAAAACAGATCGAACCTAAATACTCCTTAAGTACATGTGTTTCAGTTTATCCATAGCTTTATTATTAGCAAGAGGCATTGTCCAATGTAATGTAAAAGACCTTGTTCAATATACCATAATCATTAAGCACAATCTTAACACGTTCAAAGAATGTTAAAGATTATGTGATGCATCTATAAGCCTTAAGCCAAGCACCCTTTTTTCAAGTTGCCAATCAGCATTAATGTAATGACCAACAACACTCAAATAATCCTCTTTAGCATTTCCAGACCAAATATCAGAAGTAATAGCAACAGATGAAATGGCATTATTCTTCAAATCTTCAATCAAACTATCATGCTTAGAATTGAAATACTTAAAAAGATCTCTAGCTGTAGTTTGCTTAGACACAGTAGAGTACCTAGGGTTATGAGCAGTTTTTATGTAATCTTCTCAGGCCTCAGTTTCACCAAGACGCAGGGGAAGGTCTAGCCTAGCAAGCAAACGAACAAGCTCCTTACGAGCAACCTCAGCAGAATACTCCCAATTACGCACACTACCATCCTTATTGAAAGTAATGTGGGACTGAGCCATGCGACATTTCTCACGCTTCTTAGGGCAAGAGTCTTGATGACGGAGAAGATGGCCAGTCCCAAATTTAGAATTAGCAGAGTACTCCTTACGGCAGTGAAGACACCGAGCGCCATACCTGACATACTTACCATTTACCTTCTTGATGAGCTTCTCGAAATCTTCCCAGCAGACCGAGGTAGAAGGGCGATTAGGCTTGCTGCTTGAGCCGTCATCACCAGCGGCTTGAGCTTGAGCGTCGCCCTGGACGGCGTTGGGGCCATCACCATCGTCGACGGGAAGTGGGTTACCAGTAGTGCCGCCATTGAGCTCCTCGGCAGCACGACGGTCGAAGAGCTCCTCGGCATCCCCAACGACATCGTCCTCGTCGTCTCCGGTCATCCCGCATAGGCGGAGCTCATCGTTGATGGTCATGGAGAGACCGATGTCCTCCCCGCCGTCCGACATCTCGCCGTGCGCATGGCCCCGGTCCCTCAACGCCAGCCGCTTCAAAAAAAAAAAAAGCAGATCTAGGGTTAAATCAAGAAGAAGAAGAAGAAGAGATGAAGAACAAACAATCAAGAACAAGAAGTGAAGAACACCGAATCAAGAACAAGAAAAGAAATGAAGTGAAGAAGAAGAAGCAGATCGAGCTCACCGCTTGACGGAGCAGAGAGAGAGGCAACGACGACGACGTCGCCGCCAGATCCGGCGCCCCTGGTACCTCAACGCCTCCTTGCGGAGCCCCAATGACACCGGAGTCCGGCGAGGTCGACGAGACCGACGAGAGAGAGACGAGGAGGAGATGGAGACGACTAAGCTACATCGCCCGGTCGGGAGAAGAGGGGGTGTAGAAGGCCGTGTTGTGTGCCGCGTGCAACCACCATTTGTCGTCACCAGCCACCGGAGGGCGGGAAGAAGAGAGGAGATCGGGTGAGTGAGTGGCTAGGGTTTCGAAGAAGAGAGGAGAGCGGAGCGGAGCGCGGAGCGGACTGGGAAGCGGCCGAGTGGGGAGAGAATGAGCACAGTGTTTCGCTGCTCAACAGCCTGTGAGCGCGGCACTGGCTTATATAGCCACTCGTCCCCAACCCTACATCCAACGGCTAGGAATCGCCGGGGTCTCCATCCAACGGCGGCTCCAAGCCGTGCCAATTCTGTGCCGGCCTCGAGCGGGCCGTGCCGTCGTGCGCCAACGGCTGGCATCGCGCCTGTGCATCGACGCACGCGGGCCGCATGTGCTTGGCACGGGCACGGGAGAGGCGGGCCGGGCCATTTTCGTACCGGGCCAAATCAGCATCGTGCCCGTGCTGGCCCGATGGGCCTGGCCCGTTTGGAAATCTTTATTCAGGATAGACATCTCCATGGGTAATTGAACAGATACCAGATATCAAAGTGAAAGCATGGAGGTCCTGATGCCAAGTACTTCTTTCTGAATATCACAGAAAATTAGAATGGAAGGAAGGTGCCATGTCCTTCATTCTGACCTTTGTTGCTCTAGAAATGTAAATTCCTTGGGTTTTACTTTCCTTGAGCTACAGGTTGTCTTTGGACAAGTCAAGAAGGTCCCTGAGATATGAACAGATAAAAATTGATCCTCTCCATAGCGGCACTTTAAACAACATTTCTAGAGAGGAAGTATGAGAAATTCTCTACCAAATACTCACCTCACCTTTTCCAAATATATCTCCACCTGAGACATGGTAAATAACTTATTTTACTATTCAGCTTCAAAGAAACCTAACAACTAAGGGGGAAAACTAGCAATGTGGATTCTAAATCAGCATGAGGTCTGGTATGTTACCATTGACAACTTCACAAATCCACGTGCTTCCCCGATGATCCTAAACATACAAAAGCTCATCCACAACACATCGTATACTAGTCCGCTTTTTACATTCACAAGAATGCAAGATGCTTGGTCCCTATGTTACATTCAAAATACATAAATGTGTAAGGTTAGGATAGAAGAGACACGATCAGTAATTATCCCATAAATTAAAGCTCATGGACATTGAATTTACAAAAATTACAAAACACGAATATGACAATTGCACGTTTCAGATAGTGCAAATACTACATGCTGTTAATGCAATTATACTGTATATGTATATAAATACAGAATTCAGCTCATGAAAGAATGACAAACTGGAAGACAACCACACATATGAGAGAACAATTTACATATCTCATACTGCCAGATTCCAAAGGTTCACACAATGAGATAATACAATTTCTAGAAGCACAAAAGAGGTAGAAAGAACCTTAACATGAGCCTCCAGTAGCAGCCATATTTGGATGACACCCTAGTTCCTCAACCAAGTACTTGCACACCTCCAGATGGCCCTGGCATGCTGCTCGATTGAAAGCATCTAGGTCCCTAGTTGGGTTTCGGTGATTAATGACAATACAAGATTACTGTGACTAACGTGTGTTTTGTAGATGCAATTAAGTTAGGTCATGATAATGGTAATTGAATGGACAATCATGGTTGTCATGCCCCTACGATGGAAATCGTTTTGGTTTTCAAAGAATGGACGACAAGGTTAAGGATGGACTAGTTCTAAGTATCGTTTGGTATTGAAGAGACACTTAGAGTAGTTTAGGACTTTATTTTTCCTTTGGTCGTACTATTAAGGGGGGTATGGACGGGTAGCTTGACCTATGTGAGTCTAGTGGGTTAGGTGTGGTGCACACTTGTCTAATCTAGCACTAGGTAGCTCCTAAATAGCCCTTAGATTAATTGGAGCAAACTTCATTCACATATGATTGCGAGTTGGAAGTGAATGGAGGGTCTAATGTTGACCGGACGCTGGTTCTGGTGTGACCGGATGCTGGCGCAGAGTCCGGTCAGTTCATTTGATAAAGGTGAAGTCGTCTGGTTGCGACCGAACGCTGAGAGATGAGTGACCGGACGCTGGGTGCCAGAGTCCGGTCAACTCCAGTAAGGTCCCAGAGAGGGAAAATCCTGATCGGACGCGTCCGGTCAGTGCTGACCGGACGCTGGTCAGGTTTCGGCTACTGACCGGACGCTGAGCAGCAAAGTGACCGGACATTGGGTTCTAGAGTCCGGTCAACATCAGTAAGGTTCCAGAGGGCAGTTTTTGTGACCGGACGCGTCCGGTCAGTGCTGATCGGATGCTGGTCAGTGTCCGATCACAACTTAACTGCTTGGTGGCGGGGAGAACTGACCGGAGCGTCTGGTCACCTTGACCGGAGCGTCCGGTCACCCCGTAATGGCACATAACGGTTTGTTTTGAATGAGGGTGTATAAATACTTCCTCTATTCACTTGAGGGATTACTTTTGCTCATTCCAATAGCTAAAAAACGCCTTTGAGAGTGCCAAGAAGAGCAAGGTCCTAGTGAGGTGATTGTGATTTGAGAATCCAAGAGAGAGGCCTCATTAGTGAAAGCAAGAGTAGCAAAGTGTGCATCCACCCTTCTCATTAGGCTTGTCGTGGTCAAGTAAGAGTTCGTGCTTGTTACTCTTGGTGATCGCCATCACATAGATGGCTTGGTGGTGATTGGGAGTTTGGTGATCATACAGCAGAGCTTGTGGATGACCCAACTCAAGTTGTGAGTGGTCGTGGGTGATTCACCACGATGAAGTGTCGAAGAATCAACCCGTAGAGAGCACTTGAGCCTTGCGCAGATCAAGGGGAAGCTACACCCTTGCGCAGGTGCTCCAACGAGGACTAGTGGGGAGTGGCGACTCTCTGATACCTCGGCAAAACATCGTCGCGCTCCTCCTTCTCTCTTTACTTTAAGCATTTACTTTGAGCAATTCAATTCTTGTCTTTACATTCATAGAATTGTCATGCTAGAGTAGGATTAGAACATAGGTTGCTAAACTTTTGTGTGGTAGAACAATAAAAACACTTTCTAGGCACAAGGGATGAAGTGGGCTAACCTTAGGGGTTAATTATTACCAAGAATTTTAGAATTAGCCCAATTCACCCCCCTCTTGGGCATCTTGATCCTTTGAATTGGTATCAGAGCCTCGTGCTCATGTATTTAGGCTTAACCGCCTAGAGAAAGATATCTCACGGGGATGGACCTCCTCCTATCTTTGAGTGGGATGATTTTCCTTATTGGTAAATCCGCATGGAGACGTATTTAGAAGCTCTAGATGTTGGAATACTTAGAGCCGCCTGACAAGGATTCCCAAAACCTCGGGATCCCATGCACCTTCAAGGTGATGAAGTGAACTATGAGAAATGGAATGCAAAGGCTCGAAACACCATCTTTAGAGGCCTTTACAAAGATGTGTTTAACCAGGTGTGGAACCACAAGGACGCCATGCACTATGGTCGGACATTTGTGCGCTCCATGAGGGAACTAAGAGTGAGCATGAGGAATGCTATCATCACGTAATGAAAAAGCTTAATTCTTTTGAGATGCTTCCTAAAGAGAGTGCTAATGAAATGCACTCACGCTTGAATGTTCTTGTAGAGAAAGTCAATGGGCTTGGACTCACTCAAATGCAACCATTTGATGTTGTAAGAAAAATCTTGAGTGTCCTCCCCATTGATAAATATGGGCATATTGTGACCGTGCTTCATCAAGGTGATCTTTCCACCGCTACACCGACTCAAATCTTGGGAAAGATCAATGCTCATGAGATGTACATGCACATCACACCACAAGATGGCTCATCCTCTACCAAGAAGAAAGACAAAGACTTAGCATTCAAGGCTAGCCAAGAGAAGGGCAAAGAAAGAATTGAGTATGAGAGCTCAAGTGATGATGAAGTTGATGATGCAAGTCTAGCTCTCATGGTGAGAAGAACCGCCAAGATGCTAAAGAAGCTCAACAAGAGTGGCATCAAGTTTGATGGTAAGAAAAATAAGTTCTTCACTAGCACTAGAAGTGTAACAACCCAAAAATCCATACACCAAAAATCACAACTACAAATTTTTTTCTTCAAAACCCCATGTGATGTTGAGTGACATTTGTAGGAGCCAACCCTAAGTGTTGCATTAAAAGTAACCCAACTAGACGATTTCATGAGCATGGCATGTCATTTGTTATCATGTTTATTTAAATACTGACAAATGAAACATAGCATACATTGTCAACTCAAATGGTGATTTGGATTTTCATTTGTTTTATGTAATGTCTAACAACACCTTTAAAGAAATAAACCATAAAGTAGTTAGTACTCAAACCCAAGAATAAATATATAAAGAGAAAACTATTTCCATTTTTGTATAACAAAACTACACTTATTTTTGTTATACAAAATAGCTAAATAAATTCCTAATATATATATGAAAGAATGTTGTGGGCCTCATATCTAAAACTACAATGACTATGGTACACCAATTTTGAATTCAAATTTCAAACCAAATTTGAATTCAAACACAGGAGAAGAAAAGAAAAACAAAAAGAAGAGAAAAGAATGGAGCCAGCCTCGTAGCCCAAGTGACCGGTCGGCCCAACCTGCTTCTTTCCCTAGCCAGCCCAACTC